GTGTGTGTGTGTGTGTGTGTGTGGTGTGTGTGTGTGTGTGTGTGTGTGTCTGGTGTGTGTGTGTGTATAAACGTTGTAAAAATGTCAAATATTAATATAAATGTTTTAAAAATGTTTAAAAACATACATTTATGTGTGTATAATGAATTGTATAGATTTTTAATTATCACTATATTAATATATTTAGTCAAATTTTATATATGATAATAAGCAATAATAATTGGTACTAATAATAATACATGATTAAGTTTTATTTAAAAAAAATGTTTTAAGCATTCCCAAAATATAATTTCCGAATATTAAAAAAAAAAAAGTTTTATCTTTTTTTGGGCCTCTGTAGTAAACACTTGATTTTGCTCTGTTATTTTATGTTTTATGCAATAAACACAGCAAGTACGCTTGCTTTGTTCCTCTTTTGTTTGTCGCTTTAGATAAAGGCATCTGCTTAATGTGTGTATGTAAATGCACACGGTTGCTCGGACCGGTTGTGTCAGGCGGTCTAGGGTCCAAGGCTGACAGAATCTATTAAAGTGCGATTCAGAGGGTTCATCAACTTCCCCTCTCACTCCTGCTGCTGATTTATTATTTAGCTTTTTTCCTTCACCCCTTCCATTCCCCATCATACTCACCAAGCACAAAAATAACAAAGGGCAGAAATTCTGCTAGTTCTCATTATTTTTCCCTTCCTCCCCTAGATGAATCTGTGTGTGTGTGTGTGTGTGTGTGGGTTTGTGGGTGTGTGTGTGGGAGGGGGGTTGTATGGGTGTGTGTGTGTGTGTGTGTGGGGTGTTTGTGTGTGGGTGTGTGGGGGTGTGTGTGTGTGTGTGTGGGGTGTGTGTGTGGGGTGAGTGTGGGTGTGTGCGGGGGTGGGTGTGTGTGTATGGGTGTTTGGTAAACGTTGTAAAAATGTCAAATATTAATATAAATGTTTTAAAAATGTTTAAAAACATACATTTATGTGTGTATAATGAATTGTATAGATTTTTAATTATCACTATATTAATATATTTAGTCAAATTTTATATATGATAATAAGCAATAATAATTGGTACTAATAATAATACATGATTAAGTTTTATTTAAAAAAAATGTTTTAAGCATTCCCAAAATATAATTTCCGAATATTAAAAAAAAAAAAGTTTTATCTTTTTTTGGGCCTCTGTAGTAAACACTTGATTTTGCTCTGTTATTTTATGTTTTATGCAATAAACACAGCAAGTACGCTTGCTTTGTTCCTCTTTTGTTTGTCACTTTAGATAAAGGCATCTGCTTAATGTGTGTATGTAAATGTACACGGTTACTCGGACCGGTTGTTCAGCGTCTCGTGATTTTTAAGTGGTTATCATCACAGATCTGTATTAGCTAACAGCCGGCGTTCTGCTGCAGGCACGAACTGGATCGGCCTCCGTAAGCTGCAGGAGTTGGACGTATCCGACAACAACCTGACGGACCTGCCCTCCTCCATCCTGCACTGTCTGAAGACCCTCAGCTCTCTCAACATCAGCAGAAACAAACTCAGCAGCTTCCCCGACCCCTGGGCCTGTCCTCTGGTGGGTCGCCGGCACAGACACGCCCTTCATGTGATCACACACGTTCAGTGCTGTCTGCCGGCCTCGATAATCAACATATACTTAAATGAAGGGTCATAAGCAAAGCATATTATACATGAAACATTATGATGCCTCTACAAGACAAATATGCATCAATTTCAACCACATCTGATGTGATTTTGGGTTAAATGAATGCCATGTATTATCAGTGAATAGCTTGGTATTTTTTGTCAACATATGATGATTATCAGAGATAATTTTCCCCACAGAAAATCTGCAAAGCTTCAAGCAACCAGATCGAGTTCCTTCCTGACACCATCTCCATCTTCTGGAAGACTCATCTGATGGAGGTGGACATCTCCGAGAACGTCCTAAAGGAGCTGCCCTCATACATATTTGAGCTAGAGGTAAGGAACGGGAGGAAATGTGCTGAAATCACAAGAATTAAAATAAGATACAACATTTTGACCAAAGAGATTACATGTGTCTGGATGTTTGTACTTTATAGTGTTTTTTTTTCTTTCCTAAATCGCCAATTATTTTTCTCAATCTTCTCGATCGAGTTCCTTCCTGACACCATCTCCATCTTCTGGAAGACTCATCTGATGGAGGTGGACATCTCCGAGAACGTCCTAAAGGAGCTGCCCTCATACATATTTGAGCTAGAGGTAAGGAACGGGAGGAAATGTGCTGAAATCACAAGAATTAAAATAAGATACAACATTTTGACCAAAGAGATTACATATGTGTCTGGATGTTTGTACTTTATAGTGTTTTTTTTTCTTTCCTAAATCGCCAATTATTTTTCTCCATCTTCTCAATGTTATTATTCTCATTAATTGCAATACTGTAAAAAAGTGTTTGTTTTTTTTAGTTTTATTTAAAAATAAAATAAAATAAAAATGTAATAATGAAAAATTAAAAAATTATTTTAATTTGAATAAAGGTTTTAATAAAATATTGTTTTTATTAAATCAGCATAAAAATGCTTTAAATTTTAATCAATGTATCTTATTTTTTGCATTGTCATAATGGGAGTTTACAGGAGGAAATGTGCTGAAATCACAAGAAATTATAATATTTTGACCAAAGAAAAATAATTATGCATGAGTCTATGAAGAGTCTATAAACTTTAAAGTTTTATTTTCTTAATACCCATTATTCTCAATAATCTGAATGTCATTATTCTCATTAATCACATTGCTGTAATAAGTCTATTATTTTTGTTATTATTAATTTTAATATAAAATAAAATAATAAATTTGTATAATTAAAAAATAAACAATTATTTATAACAATTTTTTTTATTTTTTTACTTCTAACATTTTTTATTTATTTAAATCCGCATAAGCAATACTTTATATTTAAATTAATGTTTTTTTTTGTTTTTTTTTCATTTTGGTAATGAGATTTTACAGGAATGTCACAATGTTAAAAAACAAAATTTAAATTCTTTCTTCAGAAATATTGTGAAATATGGTCATCAGGCGTGTTTTTGACAGGTTTTTGTAAGATTCTTCCACTAATATTTTTCCTGGTCAAATCCTTTAATTCACTAAGAAAGAGTTTGGTTTTTTATATATTTTTAAAATATATTTTTATATGGAATTGTATATTTGAACTAGCAGCACTCAGTCCACCAGCTTCATATTGTCTTGAGCTCGTGGTGGCGCTGTGCTCACAGTAAACGTCACCTGCAGCACATCTGAACTTATCTCCTCATGATAGACACCACTGAATCAGGGAATAGCTTCAGCTTTAATAATAATAGCTTTTTACACGAATAAGCCAAAAGGCTCCGAGTGTGTCGTGAAGTGTTTACAAACGTACGGCTGAGCAGCTCAGACAGGATTTTATAGTTGTTGAGTTTTCATGAACTTCACTGTCAGTTTCGCAAGTTAACTGGCAAGATGTCAACACAAAGCCAACGGCAGAGAGAGAAATAGAGATTGCAAACTAGAAAAAAGAAAGCGTAAGAAGGGAAACGGGAGTTTCGTCATTTAAAATTCAATTTAATGCTCAAACAGTTTGACTTGAAAATCTGTGCTCTTTTAAACAGCAGAAGGCGATGATTACACCGGGAAGAACGAGTCAAAACTGACTATGTGTTATAGATTGCATAGACTTACATAGTATTTTATTTTAGTTTAGTTTAGTTTATATTATTATTTATTTTTAGATTTTGTTGTTTTTTTCTCATTTTATTTTATTTATTTTTTATTTAATTATTTTATTTTTTGCTTTTGTTTTTACTTTATTTTGTTTAATTTTTTTATTTTATTTTTATTGAATTATTTAACTTTATTATTTTGTTGTTGGATTTATTTTGTCTTATTTTGTTGTCTTGTTTATTTTATTTTATGTTTTTCTTTTATTATTATTTTAATTTAGTTTTTATTTTTATTTTTATTTGTAGTCATTTAAGAGTATAAAGCAGGGGCGTTACTAATTTACTACTACTAATCTAATAGTCAAAAATAATTTTTTCTGATAATATTTCTGCAATCATGTGTTTTCTGTCTGCTATTTAGAATCAGAACTGATGCCAGATTTACAAATAAATCACACTTTTGATCTAATCTGACGAACAGGTTTGCAAAAAGCTCTGAATTTGTTTGCGCTTCATTTTGATTCATTCTGACAGTTCACTCCCGCACTCCTCATGATTTCTTTTCACAGACTCTTCAACGATTTCTCACACTGAAATACTTTATAAGACAGAAAACTAAAAATATTTACCTGAAATCCATTGTAGAAAACTAAACCTGCATATGTCTTTTATCATTCGTCAGCAATGAAGCAATAAAACTCTTCACATAACAGATAAATGTCTCATATGTGCTAATAACAGCAATAAGTCCACACTTGCGAGATGACTTAAAGTAGCAGTGAGTGCAGGCTCATGTTTGTAGCTGCAGGTGTGTGTGTCACTGAGATCACTGTGTGTGTTTTAGGCCATCGTCTCTCTGAAGTTGTGTGGGAACCAAATCTCCACTCTGCCCTCTCCAAACAAATGGAAATGCTCTTGTCTGCGAACACTAGACCTGTCCAGAAACCAACTGGGGAAGTAGGTCAAACACACACGCACATGTAAATGTATAGACACAGACACACACACACACACACACACACATATATATGTATATATATATATACACACACACACACACACACACACACACATGTAAATGTATATATACACACACAAACACACACACACACATGTAAATGTATACACACACACACACGTAAATGTGTATATATATATATGTATATATATATATACACACACAGACACACACACATGTAAATGTATACACACACACACACGTAAATGTGTATATATATATATGTATATATATATATACACACACAGACACACACACATGTAAATGTATACACACACACACACGTAAATGTGTATATATATATATGTATATATATATATACACACACACACACACACACACACACATATGTAAATGTATATATATACACACACACACAGACACACACAAACACAGAAAGGCTCTGTTCCAAAACTTAGGGAGCCTACATAGGCAGCATTTTAATGCATCTTAAGCACACTCCCAATCTGAAGTCTGTTCATTATTATGCCTTCTACAGAAACCTCTTTTGGGCAATGCTATTCATGTGAAACTCTAATAAGCATAAAAATAGGTCAAAAGGTAATTTTTTAAATACATTGAACTATTGCTAGATACTTTTTTTCTGTATTTTGCACATTATGTATAAAGAGATTGCCTTCTCTGCAAAGGATACATGTGATGCTGCTTTATCATTTGTTTGCATAACACTATTTACCTTATTTTATTTTATTTTATTTTAGTTTAGTTTAGTTTATTCCTTAGTTGTTGTTGTTATTATTATTATTATTAATAATAATGATGATAATAATAATTTGTTTACTATTGTGTTGTTTTATTATTAATAATAATTTTATTTTGTTTTTATTCCTATTATATTTTTATTTTTCATTAGTTAATTGTATTATTATTATTATTATAAATGTTTTTATTTTATTTTGTTGTTATTTTATTATTGCGTTGTTTTATTTTATTTTATTATTAATTTTATATTATTTTGTTGCTTTTATTTGTTTTGTTTTTTTTTTACAGTTTTTTTTATTTTTTTATCATTTTTTTTTTGTTTTTATTTATTTTGTTATTATTTTCTTGTTTTATTTTGTGTGTTGTTTTCTTTTGGACAGTGCTAATACTGAGAAAATAGTCAATTTTAGGTACATTGCTAGATATATTTTCTGTGTTGTGCATATAATGCATTATGGAATTGCCTTCTTAGCAAAGAATACATGCAATGCTGTCTTGTAATTTGGCTAAAAACATATCTTAGAAAGCAGCATAATTATGTTGCCTACATTTTGGTACATATTTTTGGGGAGTGCATCTATGACGCCTTAAAATGGCATGTGTCTTCTTTGCTCTTCTAGTTCGCTAGTACATCATCACGGTCCTTGTGGTTGTATATAGAGATTGTGAATGACAGACTGTGAATATCTAAAATCGAATGCTCTCTGAATGTTATTTTAGGACGGGAGAGCCGACCAAAACCAGGAAACTGGCCTTCTTCACTACATGGCACAGACGAGACCCAGAGCCAGGTACAGGTCACTCAAACACTGCGGTCACGTTGCCATGACATGTCTGTTTCACACTGTAATTACCAAACTCACCACAGAGAAAGCAGAGTAATATCACCATGGTAATCATGTTTTGTTGAGACTGTGTGGATTGTTTTAATGGCATCAAAATCTAAACTAAAACCCTTTCAGACGGATCCAAAAGTCTGACTCATATTAGACTTTTAAGTGTTTTTAGTCAATAAGGCGGGGGCAGTCACAGTCATTTTTGCTCGTGATTCAACAAAATGTTACACTATTGTTCAAAAGAAATGTATATTTTTACTCCGCAAAGATGCATTACGTTGATCAAGAAAGACTAAATAAATGTGTTCTTTTGAACTTCTTTTAATTTAAGGATCCTGAACAAAATTGTATCACGGTTTCCACAAAATATTAAAGGGGTCATATGATGCTGCTAAAAAGAACATTATTTTGTGTATTTGGTGTAATGAAATGTGTTTATGCGGTTTAAAGTTATATATATATATATATATATATATATATATATATTTGTGTGTGTTTTATTTTGTGCTTTATTTCTTTTGGAAAATGGTAATGCTGTGAAACTCTAATGAGCATAGAAATAGATCAAACGGAGGGAAACTAATCCACTATAGGTTCAGATGCTTTTTCTTTATTGTGAATATTATGCATTATGGGATTGCCTTCTCTGCAAAGATTTTATATTATATATTATATCCCTTTTTATCACTTTATGGATGCAACTATAATTAAGGATTTTTGTTAAATATTAATGCAAAGCTGCCCTGATGGCCGTGCAAATATGGACACGTTTCTACTGTCTCGTAGTAGGCCTACTTTAAGTATTAGAGTTAAAAGTATTACTGCCGCAGTCATCAGTGGCCATCCATTCGTCTCCAGAGATTTGATTTCTATGTTATGTGGTTTTGATGAGGTTCTCATCTCCTCTGGCTCTCTTTTGGCAGTTTGTCCCATTCAGTTTCCTGTAATCCTGCGGGATTCTCTGGAAGTTCTCTTCCTGAATGACAACCAGCTGGAGTGTGTGCCGCCGTCAGTGTGTGCCCTCAAGAACCTCTCCGAACTCTATCTGTCCAAGTGAGTCGCAGGGAATCATGGGAAATGGAGTTCTTCATTTTTTTCCACTTTATTACAGGTCTCTTAGGAATACCTGATTGTGATTGGTCAATCGCAGCATTCAGATAGTATTTTTGATATAAACATTAGATAAGAAACTTTTTTAGGTAGTTACCAAGGAATAATTTCAAATTTTTTTCTAATTTCAAATCTAAATTACTAAAACTTAAATTAAAATTAAGATGAAAACTAAATATATATATATATAATTAAATCAAATCACTCTTTCTTTTCGCATAATAAAATAAATGCTAATTTATTAATTAGACTGATTTCTGAAGGATCATGTGACACTGAAGACTGGAGTAATGATGCTGAAAATTCAGCTTTGATCACAGGAATAAATTACATTTAAAATATATTCAAATAGAAAGCAATTATTTGAAATTTTAGTAATATAAAAATATAAAAAATTAAATCAAATCACTCTTTCTTCTCGCATAATAAAATAAATCTTCATTAGTTATTCATTTGAAGGATTTTATATATTTTTTATAATGTATAATGTCATTTATGAAAACCATTATGACAATCATGCATTCTGACAAGCTCAGTAAAATTGGTGCATAGAGAAATCAAAATTATTAATATATAATCGTAATTATAATATTATTCATATGTAATTCTTACTCTATTTGAACTAAAATTAAAGTCTTAAAAATAGTACAATAATTTAAGTTAATTTCAAGGTTTTTATTAAAATAAATTAAAATTAAAATGTCAAAAGTACATATCAAAATTACTAAATTACAAAAAAATCAAATCACTCTTTTTTTCTCACATAATAATATAATCTCACCTCAAATGAATATTTACATGTTCATGTATTAATTTATAATGTATAATGAAATTTATAAAAGACAAGAAAACAATCATAATAAGCGCAGTAAAAATGGCAGATAGAAATAAAAATTATCGAATTTTAATTATTATGAATAATTATTATTTTATTTAAACCATGACTATAAAGTATTAAACATTGTGCAATAATTTAATTTAAGAAATTGTTAATATTTAATTAAAAATGAATATTATATTCGATATTTCTGTGTTTTGTTTATTAGATGTAATCTAAGGAACATATTAATGCCAAACTGCTGAAATCAATTGCAAGTCAAGTCTCCCGTGTGTCGAAACTCGAAATAAAGAAAAATTACTCCTAAATAATTAGTAAAAAAAAAAAAAGTAGTTTATTTATAGATCCCTTTACAGCTAAACTGTAGACCAAAGGACTGTACAATTAGTAAAAAAAAAATTAGAGACAAACAATAATATAAAATAAAATACAGCTACAAAATCAACAATTAGAAGCCATCAAAACCAAATAATGTTTCAAATGAAAATGACAAAAGCACAAAACAAAATTACTAAAAAATGTATTAAAATGAAAACTGAAAATATAAAAATAAAAGCGAATTCAAAAGATTAATAAATATTTTGTAATGTGTGTGCTAACCACTGCTGCTAAATTGATGATGAATCAAATCCATCTCATGTACTTTGATTTGGGAAATAAATTCATGGTTTTGATTTTCAGGGAATTCGTGAAATGTGACCCAAATCCAGTCTTAAGTCGCTGGGGTAAGAACTTCATTTGAACAACTTTAAAGGCGATTTTCTCAATATTTTGATTTTTTTGCACCCTCAGATTCCAGATTTTCAAATAGTTGTATCTCGGCCAAATATTGTCCTATCCTAACAAACCATACATCAATGGAAATATTATTTATTCAGCTTTCAGCTGATATATAAATCTCAATTTAAAAAAATTGACCCTTATGACTGGTTTTGTGGTCCAGGGTCACAAATGATAAAATGTAGATCTTGAATGCAATGTAAGTGCGAGTGCTTTAGATAAAAGCATCTGCCAAATGCATGTGAATACAATGTGAATGTATCTCTGAAATTAATTAGGTGAAGAACAGTGCTCTGTATTAAACAAACAAACTAGTCGTCATGTTGAGCATGACATTATTTGTCTTTTGCGTTAGAGAACATGACATTCTGGCTCAAGCTCTGAAAACTGTATAATCTAGGATCTGTCTGATGAATATTTCATTGGCGAATCCAGCTGTGAGTCGTTCAGCCAGCTGTTGATTCTTCTGATGCGTTTGTTGCAATATTTAGTGCGTTTTACTGTCATAACAACAGATTTGAGAGGAAGCAGCCCTAACAAACACATGAGCGGCGTACAGCTGATTCTCTCAGAGCTCATGATGCAATGAAACTAAAATGAAGTTTAAAGTCAAATAAAGGAAAACTTTAACAAAAAAGTAACACTTTACAATAAGGTCCCATTAGTTAATGTTAGGTAATGCTAATTTAATTTAAGGCTAAATATAAAGAGTAACATGTGCTGAGTAAAGTTGCAATAAACTAATTTTAAAACAATTAAGTAAGAAATAATTAATCAAAATGGAGTTTAAAGCCAAGTAACGGAAAACTTTAACCAAAAAAAGTTCATACTTTACAATCAGGTCCCATTAGTTAACCTTAAAGGCTTGTTCACACCGGGATGAATATCGCGCGCGATTATCGCCGACGTTTATCGCCTCGTGACTAAACAAAGGGCGCCAATGTGAGTGTGCACATCGCCAGCGAAAATCGCTTGGGTATGAACACAAAAGATGCATCGAAAAACGTTGGCGATAAACGCGCGCGATAATCGTCCCGGTGTGTACAAGGCAAAAAGCCCAGGGCGTTTTTAAAAAAATTACATGACTAAACAAAGGGCGCCAATGTGAGTGTGCACACCGATGCGCAAAACGCGAGGCGTAAAAGTGGCATTTTTTCAAAAACGCCTCGGGCTCGTTTTTTTGGTTTGACGCGCCGCGTTAAAAACTTGCCTACCAATGAGATTGGGCTTTTGTTCACGTGCCTGGAGCTGCTGAAGTTACAGTAAAACACGACTTGGTGGCACTCAAGCACAAAACGGTCTTGCCGAGCACACATTGATACCTAATGACGAAGAGGAAGTAAGTAGACTAAGAAGATGCATCGAGCCAAGATGAATGTAGAGCTGCTTGTCTCATTGGTGTCTGAACACAAAGAGCTTAATGACAAAAGCGACAGCGACTACAAAATCTCGATAAGAGGGAGTTGTTATGGAGAGGAATTGCAGATCAAATAGGATTCGATGTGTACCGGGGTATTTCTGTTTTTCATGAAGCGCCATCTAATATCAGGGAGTGAATTTGCACGTTCACTCGGCTCATCGCCAGCGAAATTCGCTTGGGTATGAACACAAAGATGCGTCGAAAAACTTCTCGAAAAACGCTGGCGATAAGCGCGTGCGATAATCGTCCTGGTGTGTACGAGGCTTAGATAATGCATTAATACATTTGTTACATGTGTTTAATAATCTTTGTTAACGTTAGAAAAATGCTATTATTATTATAAACATAATATTAACAGATGCAACTTTTGATTTTTAATAATGAAATGTAAATTTTAATAAATGCTTGAGGAGCATTTTTTCATTGTTAGATCATGTTAACTATGTTAACAATGTTAACAAACGGAACCAAAAAAGAAATAAATGAAGTCTTTTAAGAATTAAACTATTTAATTAAAGATAAAAAAATTAAGATAAAAATGCCACTATAAGTAATAAGGAATATGTAGTGTAGTGTAGGCTTGCCGCGATAGACGGTGTTGACGGTGATACCGGTGTTAAGCCGCAACACCGGTTACGTCACTTGCCCACCGCGTCACCGACCCATTCAAAAGTGAAAGTAAAATGCGCACGGCGCTTTTAAGCTATTTAAAAGCGACGGAAAGCGAGGAAAAGAGGGAAAATTCAAACTAACTAAAAACGAACAATTGCTTTACTCCGAATTGCCGCTATTTTAAAGTGAAAGTAAAATGGGCACACCGCGTTTACAAGCTATTTAAAAGAGAAGGAAAGCGAGGAAAAGAGGGAATGCCCCGCCCCCGCGGTGATACCGGTATTACCGGTGTTGTCACACGCCGATTAACCGGTGGGAAAATTTCCTCACCGACACAACCCTAGTGTAGTGATGGAGACATTAGTTGCGTATGAACTCGCATACTGTCCAGAAGGTTCTATATTTGGTTTGATACTTACTTCACAACCGTTAAAATGTACATTCTATATGTGACCCTGGAGCACAAAAGCAGTCTTAAGTCGCTGGGGTATATTTGTAGCAATAGCCAAAAATACATTGTATGGGTCAAAATTATTGATTTTTCTTTTATGCCAAAAATCATTAGGATATTACGTAAAGATCATGTTCCATGAAGATATTTTGTAAATTTCCTACCGTAAATATATCAAAACGTAATTTTTGATTAGTAATATGCATTGCTAAGAACTTCGTTTGGACAACTTTAAAGCCGATTTTCTCAATATTTTTTTTTTTTTTGCACCCTCAGATTTTCAAATAGTTGTATCTCGGCCAAATATTGTCCGATCCTAACAAACCATACATCAATGGAAAGCTTATTTATTCAGACGATATATAAATCTCAATTTCAAAAAATTGACCCTTATTACTGGTTTTGTGGTCCAGAGTCACATATAGTATGAATATGGGTAGTATGAATGAAATTCAGATGAAACCTCAGAATCTCACTGTAAGCAGTAGGTCATCCGGGTACTTTTCCTACAGTTTTTCAAATGCTGTGAATTCAGACATTTATAAGTAGGCATATCCGGACGCAGCAATTGACTTGTGTGCGTGTGCAGGTCCGGCTGCGGTTCTGGCGTATCTGCGAGCGGAGCTGCGAGGAGCAGAGCCCTGCAGACTGCTGAAGCTGATGGTGGTGGGTCCTCCACGGCAGGGGAAGAGCGCTCTGCTGGAGGGGCTGCAGACGAGCAAACCCTCATCCTTCATCAACACCGACCGCAGCATCCACACGTCCGGCTGGGCACACACACACACAGACACACACACACACACACACAGACACACACACACAGACACAGACACACACACTCTCTGGTTTCCATGTTTTATGGGGACATTCCAAAGATGTAATGGTTTTTCTACTGTACAAACTGTATTTTCTATCCCCTTACCCTAAACCTACTGGCATTTTTACATTTTCAAAAAAAGTCATTCATTTAGGTCTAGGTCATTTATAAGCTGTGTTCCTCATGGGCACCAAAAAAATCTCCCCACAAGGTCAAAAAATGCTGGTATTACTATCCTTTTGGGGACATTTGGTCCCCATAATGTAGGCAATACCAGATACACACACACACACACACTCATATCAGGGTTCTGTGGGTCTTAAAAAGTCTTAATTTGTCCTTCCACAAATTATAGCCTATATCTAAGGATATCTTAAGGATGTCTAAACATACTTAAATCAAGATCATTTACTTAAATCATTTACTTGAGATGCAAAATGAAGATATGAAGTCTTGTTTTCTGAGAAATTGATCGTAATTGAGTTTGTGCTTCAAACTAGAACCAGGATCTGCCTTCATTTTTATCAATTTCTCAGAAAACAAGGCTTCTTCAGTCATTTTGCTTCTCATGTAAATGTATCTTGATTTAAGAATGTTTAGATATTTGTTTTGGAAAACAAGTTGAAAATATTGAGGAAGAACATCAGGTTTTTTTGCAGTGTGATCAGAAGTTATAGACAGCTGCTGGAAGTTGCATTTTCAAACTTTGTTTGTGTTAATAATAGAAGTCACTGTGTGCTTCATAGACATTTACATTTAGAGAACATACTGATGTATTGTGTTCCCTTAAATTAATTTATTAATAGAAGTCACTGTGTGCTTCATAGACATTTACATTTAGAGAACATACTGATGTATTGTGTTCCCTTAAATGTATTCCTTAAGTTTTCTTTATATACTTAACATTACTAAACGTAACATTACTAAAAAAATAACTTTAAATTAAATAAAAAGTATTTTATTGTTTTACAGCTACATCTGAACATTCATACTTTATTAGGTTAGTACTGGTTAGTATATTGGTTAGTATGTGAATTTTATATTATACAATTAATATATAATGATAATAAATGTATAAAATATATCAAATATTTATGCATTTTGCAGAATGCATATGTAAATGTTACTTGTAAAATCAAAAATGCATATATGTAAATGTAAATCTTGAATATATTGTATACGTCTATTTTGAAAAATACAACTAAATGTAAAAATTAAATTTAAAAATATGTAAATTTAGATGCGTATTTTAAATATAACAACTATAAATCATACATTTAGCAATACATCCATATCTAGCTCAATCTTTACATAAATATTCAAACTATAAATTTAGGATTGACAGTTACTCACTTAAAAGTCATGAGTTTCATAGTAGATTCATAACTTTGCTGCCATAATAGTCAGTATATTTCTGCGTATTGGTGAGGAAAGCAACTGAAACGCACAGTGGACAAATGAAGTCATCTTATGTTGATTCAAGTGTGTGACTTCATCGTTTGAGCTTTTACTGAATTGCCAGTCTATCTCATTGTTTTCAGGGCGTTCCTTCAGATGTGTTTGTCCCACAATGCTTTGCTCACGGGAAGCGAACAGCTATGTTTGCTTTAACCCTGTAAACATGACGAGACAAAAGTAAGGCAGAATAAAAACCTTTAGAGCAAGTCTGAGAAAAAAAAGCGAAACCATTAAAGTGCCAACATTTTGACCTCCGGGTTTATGAACGAGTAGCAGCTCTGGTATTTCCAGCTGACCTTTGACCCTGAGCTCTATTTGTGGCCTTACATGGTTTCTTAGCATGAGTTAACAGTGTTTCCATTCTCATCATGAGTCCTGAGTCATAGCCAGATGTATAAAACCCAAGAGAGTGTTTCACACACACACACACACACATGCACTATAGGCTTGTTCTCATAAACACACACACATTCAGACTGACCTCTTACACGTATATCATGGACAGAAGCAAATGTATACACAAGCCCAGGAGATCTTGCTCCACGTCGAGCAGCTGTGAACACTTACTCCACCGCTGACTCACAGCGAGAGCCTTTTTTGTGTGTGTGTGTGCTTTTTAAGATTTGCTTGAGTAATGTTTATGGTTGTTTAAAAGAAAGGTTCACCCACAAATTAAGATTCTGTCATTATTTACTCACCCTCAAAGTTGCATTTCTTTACAATGAAAGTATTTTTATTTCATTTTTTATTTTAAGTTGTTTCATATGGAAGCCGTTTCAGCCACAGAATAAAAAAATACAAAAAGGTAATTGTGACTTTTTATCTCACAATTCTGACTTCTGACTGACTTTGTTGCCATGTTGAATTTGTTTCTCGCAATTCTGCATTTGTATCTCGCAAATTCCATGTTTGTATTTCGCAATTTCACTTTGTATCTCATGATTTATCTCATGATGCATTCCGCAATTCTGTTTGTGTCTCGCAATTCTGATAAAAGAAGATTGACGAGAAAAAAATTCTCAATTGTGAGATAAAAAAGTCGCAATGACCTTCTTTATTATTTTATCCCGTTGTAGAAACAAGCTTCCATAGCTTCATAACAGAACTAAATAAACCATAGTTTCACCTCGGCAACTTTATAATTTGTCTGAAAATGCCTTGATCAAAGTTATTGAGTAATGTTGTCAATATGGTGTTATGCCTCTGTTTCTACTGTGGATCCAGGTTGATTCAGTGTCCTTCAACGTGTGGGATATTGGTGGTCCGGCCAGCATGTCGACGGTAAACCAGTGTTTCTTCACGGATAAGGCTCTGTTTATGGTGATCTGGAATCTGGCTTTGGGAGAGGAAGCCGTGGCCAACCTGCAGTCCTGGCTGCTCAACATCGAGGTCAGGAAACTCTTAATAAAGTTTGTTTGTTAATATGTTTATTTAGTATTTAACTATTATTCATGGAATAGTTCAATAATAATGAACATCATTTTGACATTGCAAACTAAATTAATAATGTTTATATATTGATTGATTTGACAATAATTAGCATTTGCCAGTGCAAACTAAATTAATGAAGTTTATTTATTTATTTACTGAATAGTTTAATGATAATAAATGCCATTTTTTAAAAGTGTATTTATTTGTTTATTTATTTTGTTTACTTATCATATATCATAACATATCATATCATTATTTATTTATTTACTAAACAAATTATGTTTATTTATTTATTCATGCAATAGTTTAATGATGACAAAGGTAATTTTGCTATTGCAAACTAAATGAATAAAGTTCTTATTTGATATGTGTGTATATATATATATTACATACACTTATTATATTTATTTTTTTAATTTATGGCATAGTTTATTACTATTCACAACTTAAAGCTTTTGTAAGGTCAACTAAAATCTAAATATAGCCTGTACAGAGTGAAAGTGAGCATATTTGCTAATACAGCAAAGGCAAGTTGGAAATGCAGGTGTGGGCACTGATAAAAAAAATCCTTAATGACGAAAGGGGAAAAACATCTGTATAAACACTACATATACAAACATAAAACACTCTCTTTCCAAACACAAAGCTGGCATGAGCTTTTCATCGTGCAAGTCATTTTTTTGATGGACTGGTTTTACAGCATGACCCTGAATGTGTTTGTGCTCCAGGCTCGCGCTCCTAACTCTGCTGTCATCGTCGTCGGGACGCATCTGGACCTCATAGACACTAAGTTTCGTACGGAGCGCGTCGCCACACTGAGGGCCTACATCCTGGCACTTTGCAGAACCCCGTCGGGCGCGCGGGCCAGCGGATACCCTGACATCACATGGAAACACCTCCAGTTAGTCTCATTATCATAACTTCAGCTTACTTTCCTCAATGGAAAATCTGTTTTGGATGGAAAAATGTGGAAAAATGTGTGGTTGTTTGGCAGTGAGGTGTCGTGTAAGACGCTGGAAGGCATGGACGGACTCAAGAGGCTGTTGTTTCAGGTCGCTTGCTCCATGAAGGACATCAGCAACCCTGCTAGCTGTCACAAACTAGTGGGAAGACTGGTTAGTGTTAGTTAAGCCTGTATGTATGGCACGAATGACAGTTGTTTCTGACATCTGTTCAGTAAGATGTAAAAGCTGACGTGAAACATACTGCTGTTCCACCTCAAATCTTCAGTATGTTTTTTTCATTTATTCATTTAGCGGATATTTTTATTCAAAGCAACTTAAAATCAGGAGAAATACAAGAAAAATCATGAGCGTGAGGAGGCTATGCTGCAGTATTATCTTAGTTTCTTTCCCCATGTGTTGATGTCTGTTTTTGGTGTTTTATACAGATCCCCAAAAGTTACCTGACCCTGCAGGAGGCCATAAAAGCAGAACGTCTGAGGAGAGATGAAGTGGATGAGGTCCAGTACCTGACGGACTCAGAACTGGAGCAGATCATTGAGCAGAGTCCTGCCAGTGATATCAAAGATTACGAGGATCTGCAGACGGGTAATGCAAAAATAAAAATAAATGATGTGTATTTATAAATGTAATAAATTAATATTTATAAATGTATTAAATCATTTTTTTGTATATATATTAAATATTTACAAATATATTTATTTTTAAGATACATATTTTTATATTTCTGTTCTATATATATATGTTTAACATATATGAAGTATTTATTTATTTATTGAATTGGTCAGAGAGGTAGTGCAGGTAGTGCAACTTATAAAAATAATTTCAAAAACTAATATGTGTTTTAAAATGTATCAGTATATGTCAGTATGTTTTAATATTTTTTTAATTCTTTAATATACATATTTATATTTCTTTTCTTAACTTAAGTAAAAGTATTTATATGTATTGCATTTTTATTTAATTAATTTATTTTAATTAATTTGATTTTATTGTATTGACTCCATTAAGCAACTATTAAGCAGTTCATATTTTTCCAATTCTGTTTTTTATTAATATTTTGAATCAGTTTTAATTGTTTAATATTTTTTGTTTTAATTTTAATTTGTTAAATTTTAAGTGATTTTTGTGTGTGTGTGTGTGTGTGTGTGTGTGTGTGTGTCATTTTTAGTAGTTTTTCTTTTCATTATGTCTGTATAGCTTTTAATGTTTTTATTTCATTTTTATTTTAGTTATTTTAGTACATCAACTTAAACTAAATTAAAATGAGAAATGTTGCCTTGGCAACTACCTGAAATAAAAAAAAGTTTTTTTTATATTTTAATGTTTTAATTCCTATTTCAGTTTGTAAATTCATAGCGTGAAACATTCTAGATCTTTATATACAGATAAGAATTGCCCAGCACATTAGTTATGTAATTATTTATATTTTTCTCTATCTGTGCATCTGCAGTTTATTTCTTATGGTGGTGCACTGCTGCCACATATATTATTTTTCCACTCAATTAGCCTTTTTCACAAAAATCGGAAATTACGTCAGCGCAGGGTAAAGTTAGTTCCGTTACAGGTCTGCGCCTATTATATTAGTATGCCCTTTTCTCAAATAATGCTTCTTACCTTTTCTGTTGTGTCTGTTTTCCAAGTTGTTGTTATATAATCTACAAAGAAATAACATTTTACTTGTTAGTAACTTATATGGCCACTCAGACTGCTGACTCGTGAGATAATACGCTCAATATAGCACCGGATGGTTTCTATTCTTCATCTCCGAGATCCCTTTTTATATAGACTTTGATCTCCGGTACATTTGCTCAATTTACTCAGTCATTTCCCTCGAATCACCACATGATAAATTACTTAAAAATGACAACATTTATGTCCAGATGCACATTTTTTCCAAGAATACATTAAACAATTCTAACTGAGTCCGGTTGAAGCATATTAAACTCAACACAACAACGTAATCTGATACAATAGGAATAAAGTCATGAATCCGAGTCATCTCTTGTTTAATATTTATTTCCC